GAGAAATAGGTATATTGAGAGGAATTTATCAAACTTTTTTTTAATTATGTACAATAAGCGTAACTGATGATGGATAAATATAATTTTGCTAGATTTCTTGATTGGAGAAAACACCCAGTGGTGGTACTCCGACGTGTAAGGTTAGTTGCTTTATACTACATTAGGATCTTAGGAAATCTCTCGGCCAGTTTCGCTTAAGTCTACTTGCAGGATTGCCAGGGAGATTGGGAAAGGATAGATTGGAAATTAGTGTGTTGGTATGATTGAGGAGGCTTCTGTTGAATCTTCTATAGGATTCCGTATGTCCAGATTGGTTTCAGGAGTGTATTGTATAATAGAATTTTGGACTTTAAATTAATTTTGGAGATTTTTCCGAGAATATATTTCAGGAGGTTTAGGCGGTTGTTTAGTTTGATTTTTGTTTCATGAATATGTTTTGCCCAGGTCAGCCGCTTGTCAAAGAAAAGTCCTAGGTACTTCAGATGATGGGCGACTGGTATTACGTTGTTGTTTAAGAAAACAGATGGAGGTATACCGCTACGCAGGGCAAAGGTTGTATAATTGGATTTAGATTAATTTGTTTTAACATGCCACTTTGAATACCAAGGTGTGAGAAAGTCTAAGTGGTTTTGTATTGATGTTGAGACTATCGTTGGATCATTATGAGTTGTGAAAATGACTTTGTCATCTGCATATTCTGCAACGTTAGTGTTTGATTGAGTTGGTTGATCAGAGGTGTAAATATTATGTAGCGTAGGAGACGCGACTGAACCTTGGGGGACGCCAGCTAATATTGGCGAAATATTGGAAAGCACTGCTCCAGATCTGACAGCGAAGTGTCTTTCGCTGAGATAAGATTTGAAAAATAAGTTATATGGTTGTGCGGTAAGGTTTTTAATTTATATAAGAGCCCTGGGTGCCATACTTTATCGAACGCTTGCGAGACATCTAGGAATACTGCAGACGTATAAAGCTTCTTTTCTAGCGAGCTGGAAATTGTATCTGCAATTCTATGAATTTGATGTATTGTTGAGTGTGATTCTCGGAATCCAAATTGGCTATCGGGAATAATTGATTTATCTTTAATAATTGGATATATTCGTTTCAAAATTAGTTTTTCGCATAGCTTGGAGAAAAAAGGAAGGAGACTGACGGGTCTGTAAGATGATGCTTGATTTGTTGGGCTTTGAAAAAAATAACTATTATTGAGGACTTCCATGGGATTGGAAAGTATGAGTGTCTTAGAGTTGCGTTTAGTAAGTGTGTTAGGTGAATGATTGCTTTCGGTGGAAGTTTACGAGCTACTCCGGGTGTTATTAGATCGAATCCGGGAGATTTACCCAGAGGGAATTTCTGTATTACTGCCTTCACTTCTTTGGGAGAGAAGTATTTTGGTGGTCTGTCCATGGGTAGTGGAGATTGCAGAAACTGGTTGATTTCTTCATTGCTAGTGGTGTTGGGTGTGTCAAAGGGCTTGAAGACATTGGATAAGTGTTCACAGAAAGTCTCAGCTTTTTCTTTATCATCAATGGCTAAGCTGCCGTCTTGTTTAATAAGGGGAGATGAGCGTTGATTAATTCTTAATAAATTGCGGGTCGTTTTCCAAAGGGAGTTATCTTTTACGGATATTCTAGATGTGTGTTTAGCAAAGTCTTCAGATCGTTGTTTAGCTAGCTGTCTTTGAAGAAGCGTCCTTGTATGTGTCGGGACTAGGTTTTGCGCCGGATTACGATTAGGTTGTTTTGGCGAGGACGAGCTCCGGGCTGCATTTCGAATGGTTTTTGTACATATTTATACGGCATTGTCTAATTCATTTGGTGATTCTAGACGGGTATTTAGATTAATTTTTTCAGTAAGATTTGTTTGGAAAAGTGACCAGTTTATTTTTCCATTTATTAGTGAAGAGGGTGGTGTTTTTATCGGTGGTACTGTATTAAGAGTTAGAATGACTGGCGAGTGATCAGAGAGGGGATGTGAAAGATTTTCTGTCCAACTGGCTATACGTTTTGGTATTTTGTTAATAAATATACCTAAGATATCTGGTCGTTTTCTTGGAGATGTCAGCCAATAAGTTGGATTGTCTGGAGCAATGATGTGGTAGTTTAATTTATTTGCTACGTGGAGGAGGGTATTACCTCGAGGTGAGTTGGAGTGGCAGCCCCGTTGTCTGTGTTTGGCATTTTGGTCACCCCCTATTGTGAAATTGTTTCCCAATGTGTTAATAAACTGATGAAATTGGTTTACAGTTAATTTATGCTTTGGTGGGCAATAACAGGAGGTCAATGTGATAGGGGAGTGGTCCAATGTTAGTTGTATAGTTGCAGACTGAAGGTAGTCTTCTTTTTGTTGTGAATGATAAATCAAATTTTAAATAGATCTGACAAGAATTGCTGCACCAGCGTGAGATGTGTTATCCGGATGATTTGTGTGGATTATTTTATAGTCTGGTATGTAAATTTTCATTGATTCAGTTAAGTGTGTTTCGGATATTAAAGCTACGTCGATTCTTTTTTCATGAAGGGTTTGTTGTAGTCAGCTAGATGGTTTTTTATACCGTTGGCATTCCAGAGAAGTATTAGTAGTGATTTTGATGTCGGAGAATTATTTGTCATTTTGAGAAATCAATTTGTTGAGTACTGTAGTTAGGAGGGAGAGAAGAGGATTTATTATAGCTTTGAAATCGTTCAAGAAATTGGTAAGTAGGAGACATGTACCATTAAGAGTTGTGGTAGGAGTTTCATAATCTTGGTTAGCTGTGATTTTTGCACATGAAGGTTTTTGAAAGGAGTGGTTGGGTTGGTTGGAGTTTGCGCGGGTTGTGTGGTCTTAAGTGTATATTCGTTATTTTTAGTAAAATGATGATTGTTCTCGTGATAGTTTGAATGGCGCAATTTTTGAAGTTCAGTATTCTGCGCAACGGACGCATCTAGCTGGGTGTGCACAGTAGGATTTCGTATGCCCGTATTCATGGCAGTTTAGGCACTGTATGAGGTTATGGCGCGGAATTTATCAAAATAAACATTAATAATGAAATTTGAAAATTTGTTTTATTTAAAATTTAAATCGCTTTTTATGAGGAAATACAATCGTTAAAAAATGATTTAAAGTAAGTATTTAAAAAAAAAAATTTTAAATAAAATATGTACATGAGGAGAAAGCCCCACAATAGATTATTCGGTATAAGTTTATAGAGGCACTGGGAATTTTAGTGATTGCGCAATATTATTGGGAAATTAATAGCTTGTGTGATACCAAGATTGATATTATACATTTATGATTGATGATTGATTCACCACAGTTATTTTCAATCATATTTTATATAAAATGTAAAATCCTATTAATCTTCCTAAGACTCTTCAAACATTGTGAAATTATGTTTATTTCTATTAAAAAAATAAGACTATACCTAAATAGTTGTATACATTCGCACAATATTATAAAACTAATATAGATATTAAAATATTATAATGATATAATATTAACTATTCATTTTTCTATTCCAAATATATACGAAAATAATAATACTAAGTGGTAGGTATAATAATATTGAGAGGAAAGGATTAAAATCAACATTTATAATGGAATAGTTGAAATTTAGTCCAAATTGTATATTTACTTACGATAAGACCGAATAAACACACTGCAAATAGAGCAAAACTTGTGTTGGATTTCATCGTAAATACCTAAAACAATAAAAAGCTCATCAATTTGTATAAATAATTATATCAATTTGACAAATTAAACAACTTTTGTTCTAGTTAATATTTTTACAACTTTTTTAATGATTTATATCAAGTTGTTCTTAATAAAAAGTCTATCTTGAACATAAAAAATTATAAAAAAGTGTAAAACCAGTAAAGTGCAATTAAAAACATCATCACCTAAATAGGAAAAAAAATATTATCTATATATGCTGTTATTCATACTGTTGTCGTATTTTTTGTGTATTATTATTTGTGCTTTACTTTATTTGATTTAATAATTATAAAAGTTTAATTCCTTCGCTTTTAATTTTATAATCGAATAATTCTAATCCTATCGAACAGCAAAAATTATCATTCACTCATTTTTAGTTTTCCAATTGAAAACGAAAAATATAGGTATATGATACAATACGTTAATGAGATAATAGACTTTTAAAAAATATCGAAAAATAGTTAATAATTTAGATACTTTATAAAATTAAAAATGGTAAAGTTTGAACGTTAAAATGTAAACGTTACCAGATTTTAATTATTTTTCGAGGAAAAAAATATATAAATTCTCGTATGTTGCAGTTGTAATGGTTTTATGTTGGCAATAAAATATTATTTTATTGCCAACATAAATTTATTACATACATTTTAAATATTTTAAAGTCAAAGAAAAACATTTATATTTACCAAGTGTTACGAAAAATAATTTCAAATATCGCTTACTTTTTTTTATATTTGTTAAACTTAACGCAGATTAACTAAAAAACACACTAATACTGTTAGTGGTGTTTGAGTTGCCTTTTGTTGGTTAGATTTGCGACTTTTTGCATACGTCATATTTATTTAGATTACCTGTAATACTTGGCGTTTTTGTGTTTACTTAAGAAAAAGTATTCTTTATTTGATTTAAATGTAAAAGTTTAATTCCTTCGCTTTAAATTATATCGAAAACTATTCTAATCCTATCGACCAGTAAAAAATGACATTCTGTTATTTTTAATTTCCTAATTAAAAACGAAAAATATAGGTATACGATACAAAATGTTCAAAAGTTGTTAGTGCTCTAGAAACTACCAAAAAAAAGTTAAAAATTTGGATACTTTGTAAGTTAAAAGTTAAAAACGGTAAAGTTTGAACGTTAAAATGTAAACGTTACCAAAGTTTAATTATTTTTCGAGGACAAAAAAATATAAATATGTTTCAGTTGTAATGGTTTTATGTCGGCAATAAGCAAAACATATGTTTAATATCTAAAAAAAAACATAATACCATTGTCTTAATAAAATAATTTAAAATATCGCTTACTTTTTTTATGTTTGACAAACTTAACGCAGAGAAACTCAAAAACACACTAATACTTTTATTGGTGCTTGGGTTGCCTTCTGTTAGTTAGATTTGCGACTTTTCGCGTACGTCATATTTTTGTGTTTACTTAAGAAAAAGTATGCTTTATTCAAGATATTACGAAGATAACAATGTTCTAGACCAATCGGATTCAATTGTTCACGCCCTACTTTCCACCACTTTGTCTGGTCAGAGTACCTAATGCGGTGCATAGGAGAATGTAACACACCTAGAGTTACACCTAAGTTTATTTTGCAGTCCACGATATAAAAATGAATCCCTACTATTTATTTTAAATTAAAATCCATATTTTATGTTTTTTTACAACTTTAGGCATAACACTGTGCGTATTAAACTATCGCATTTAATGAGCATTGACAGTTTAATCAGTTTTTATGTACTCAACTAACATATTTTATTCTAGTTAGATTCTATGTAATTTAAAAAAAGCCAACGATTCATTCTGTTTCTGTATCTAGACAAATGACTGTTAACAACGCAATTTTTTAAGTTTTAACCTCGAGAGAATCGGTATACTTTACAAATACAGTTTTCATAGAAATCAAGTTTTTTTTGGACATATCTTGTTTTATTATTTGTTATTATTATTGATATTATTTGAACACCCATAAAAATACTTATAAAACATGTTTTCTTTACCTACGTATGTCTTATATTCTAGATAACACATTGTTTTACAAAAATTACATTATGACAAAAAATTACTATTATCTAGGGTTCTATATTTCCCTGTCTGTATTTATGACTTGTGTGCCAAATGGCATGTGGGAAGTTCATAGGATGTCCATATACTAGTTTTTAAGGCTTTCGTTGTAGACAGTACTGGTTGAATAAATCTAAAATTGTTTTTACATTAACTATGAAGGTAACTTTAATAGCAATTTTCTCTAAGAATATCACAACCTTTGTTAATACAGGATTTCTAAATAAAAACAGCCGCTCGCACTAAAGTACATCCTTCGCAAACATTTTTTTGAAAATCATTTTTATATTCGCATAATAATGTTTAATATTATTGTTTTTGTTTTTTACAAATTTATTACAATACACAGGCTTAGGTGTAGTATTTTTTCCACAACATGTTTGTGCCATGAACACATCTGGATACTTAAAATCGCTTTTTGCAAATACAACTGGCATAAACAGCACCGCCATGACCTAAATTCATCATAATGAATTCACGACCATATTTTTTTGTGCCTAACTAATGGAAAAAACACATTTGGACACCAAAATATGTTTTCAATGAGGTTTTTTTTTGAAAAAACAAATTTGTTATTAAGTTTAAAAAGTATAATAAAAATACTAATTCATAAAAAATACAACCCTTCAGTTACACTCTTTAATTTAGATTCGGGGTTATTCTAACAAAATCTAGGCACAGTGTATTATTATTTTCTGGATCCTATATTTTCTGTCCGTAATAATTATAACTTGTGTTGAACAATGGTCCAAAAGAAACATAACACAATTACTACTCGTTGAAAAAAGATAAAAGATACAAATTTAGTTTTATTTACAACAATTTGGTGGATATTGTACAAGTACATAAACTTGTTCATTAAGCATATACATTAAACCATGCGATATCATAGTTGTGGATAGACTTGTGATTTTTAATCACATATTATGAATTCTATAAAGAGTTATACAAATTATTTATTTTAATTTTTCTAATTATTTTTTATTGACATTTATCACACTTTCTATAATTAATGATATATCTAGAGAGACTTATTTTCAAAAATATATTTTCCAAAAATGTACCTACGCCGATAATTTTTTTTGTTTGGAATTTTGTGTTTAATTCAGGCTATCAAACAATATTGTGTGATAGCCTGATAAAAAATTAACTACTAATAAAGTGTCCTCAATACTATGTACATTGTACATGTCTAAAAAATAAATATTAGATTTTTTAGGTAACCACGAATCTTAATTTAAGAGTTTCACCGAGGGGGTGTATTTTTTATAAATTTATATTTTTATTATACATTTTTAACTAAACGAGAACATTTTTTTTTCAAAAACACCCTCTTTAAAAACATATTTTGATTTCCAATTGTGTTTATTACATTTGTTAGGCATAAAAATATATGGTCGGGAATTATGATGAGTTTAGGTCATTGCGGTGCTGTTTATGCCTACTGTTGTTGTTTTACCAAAAACGATTTTAGGTATCCAAATGTGTTTATGGTACAAACATATTGTAAACAATTTACTATGACACACAAAAATGAAGGATAATGTCATGTTGGTGATCTTTATGCAAATGGCTAAGCAATATTTGACACAAATATATTGTAACCATTGTTATTCATTTTATCTAGCTGTACAACTTTCAAAGTTATTTCTCTCAGAGTTAGGGCGAAAGTTTGATTAATGAAATTAATTTCAGATACTAAGTAAGTTATTAGGCGCAATATATCTAGGAAAATTTTGTTTATTTTGAATTTAATTTATATTAATTAAACGTTTTGAAATTTTGAATCAATGGGGAAGGGCCGTGGGTCATATTTTCAAAAACTTCCACAGCTGTTAAAAATGTATACAAAAGATTTAGACCATGTTTTATTATAACATCGGGTATTATAAGATTCAATATTAAATCTTTAATTGTGAAATAATGGCTGTTAAGGGAATTGAAAGTGGGTGGTTTTTAAGTTGTTTTATACAGGCAAAATCTAAGAAAAAAAAGTTTTAGTAAATGTCGACCATATCAAATTTATTTAAGGTCAAGCTTCAGGGTATTATAATGTTTCTTAATGTATACAATTTTTTCTACGAGTTAAAACCATTTTGGTGACACAAGAAACCAATTTAGATCTAAAATCCTGATAAAATTACGCCTACTTAGTATTTTAATTATGTAAACATATTTGATCGCATCGTTCATTTCCAGCTTGTTTTTCAATAATTTTTTATTTTATCATGTTATATAGAGTAGTATTATATTTAATAAAAGATAAGAAGAAGAATTGAGACTATTCTATTTCTTTTGTGGACGGCCAGACAATGTTTAAAATTGGTAAATATTTATTTTGGACAAATAAAGTAAATCCAATTGGCGGGACATATGCACTGTGTTGTTTAACTTAACGTGACAAATTAAAATATTATAACTATACGCCAACGACCCTGCAGTCAAGCCTTTTGAATAATAAAAAAAAATATATAAAAATATTAACAACGATTTTTAATATATAGTTTATTGTGTAAAAATAAACAATAAAGCTTCAATCACACAAAACAAATGAATTACAGTTTACAGAAATCATCGATACTGTTCACGTCGCTTATGAAATAATTGATGACTTCATTTAGTTGTACGTCGTTACATGCATAATATTTTACAGTTTTTAATTCATTATTGCTATTCTTCTCATTTATTTTCTTTTTTGTTATATCGAGTAAACTAGCCCGTACTTTATCAATTTTGTTGACTAAATTTCTTTCTGCTAATCCAAGATGAATTTGGTCTTTGGCCTCGGTAACCCGTGCAATAAACTCAGGGTCTAATCCGAATTTCAAATCTGTATACAAATAACAATTCAGATTTGGTCTGGTCATCGTATTAAACTAATAGACAACATATTGTAATAATATATGTTGGCGTTAATTGAAAAACAACCATTGGTGAAAAACGGAATTAAAGATAACGTTCGAATATACATTTTTTTTAATGTTTGCCAAAGATGTACTTATTTATGCGATTGTATGCGGTCTGTTTTTAAGGAGTTTTGTTAAAGCAACTTTGGTTTATTCTAGGCCAAAATGTAGACTACATAGGATAGTCCAATTTCAATTCTTGTGCAGAGATTTGAGTTTTTCGGCTATTTTATTATGTTATGTAGAAAGCTAAATCTCATTCATAAATGCCGGTTTCTTGTAATTAAATAAATTCAATTTTATAAAAAAATCTCTTTTCTACATAACCTTGTTAAGATTCCAGTGAATTTGATATCTTCTGTATATCTTTGCAGAATTCAAATCGGGCCACTATAAGTAGTCTGGCTTTTTGGTCTGAAACGTCTATTTGAAAAAAAACCGCTTTTCTTTAATCAACAAGTGTTTTAAATACCGGGTGGTTGTTTAAAGTCTTATACTAGTTTACTCTTAAAATAATTGCAATTTTGTAGTTATTCTTTTTGGACACATGTTTGTTTATGCTTTATTACTGTATGCGATTATACCTATTTAAATTTGTACCTTTTACGTATTTTCTTGAGCTTTATTAGATTTCGAAACCTAAATGATAACGTAAACATATTATAAACTTTTCGAATTAACAATAGTTTGCTGAACATTTTCACTGGTCGATAACCAGTTTTGAATGAACAGTTTTGATATAATTAAAGTTTAAAATTAAGGAAGGGTGGAGAGTAGAGCTTTTCAGTAAACTGTTCCTAATTTTTAAAGCTAATAAAATATATACGTGGTCCTTAGATTTTATAAGTTAATAAAGCTATAGCAAATACTAGAAAGGATAAAATTTAAATAATGTCTCATTTTTTAATATAGTATAGACAAAAATACTTTGAAAGAAAAACACTACAAATTTGCAATTACTTTATGAGTAAACTGGTGTAGGGCGTAAAAAGAATTACCCGGTATAACATTTTCATGCTGGCTGACAGCTCTTTGTTACGTTAATTTCCACAAAGTTTAAAAGTTTAAAAAGACATTTAAAAGTTTAAGTTTGGGAAATTGATAAAATAGACAAACGTTTGACTACAAATGTGTTTTTCAATATGTGCATTATTTTTAATTTAAATTTCTATCGTTTTAATACCCTCATTTTTGCTTTGTGCATAAGAGAAAAATAATTATTTAAATACTCACAGTCTGATATAAGACTATCATCTTTTAGACTATCTACATTTTTCGAAAAATCTATATATTTTATAGAACCATGTTCATTTGTGGGCAATCCTCCTGGTCTATTGTAAATCAAAATCTGAAAGACCCATGTATTAATATTAGTCAAATACTCAATGTATTAAAGTACTCTTGGCTTGCAGTTTTACTTAAGATAGGTCAAAGAAAATGTATTATGAAATTAAAGAGGCCCTGGAAATCATTAGTGCTTGATCTAATTAAGTACAAACTAGTTTTTATGTATTTACATTCAATATGTAGTTGCGTATAGAGATGGGTAAGGTGTCTGATGTCTCGCCGCCGCTTGGCGAACTATTCAAAAACACCTGAAAGACATACACTAATATTAGTAGTGTCGTACACTTCACAAGCAGTAGTATTATAGAGCGCGATAGAGCTAAAAAGCAAAAGCTGAAAGACCTACATATTAGTATTAGTATTATTACTAGCATCATAGTGTCGTCAAATACCCAATGTATTAACGTACACTAGTCTTTAGTGAGATCAAACATAGGTCAAAGAAACTGTAATATAAAGTTAGGGACGCTCCGGAAATCATAAGTGCTTCACCTAAATAAGTACAAACTAGTTTTTATGAATTTACTTTTGTTATAAAGTTTCTTATAAATTCAAGCCAAGTGTTTGATGTCTCTGATGTCCCCGATGTCTCGCCACCGTCTGGTACCATAGGCGAACAATTCAATGAAATCTGAAAGGCATACACTAATATTAGTATTATCGTACACTTCACAAGCAGTAGTACAATAGAGCGCGATCCTATGCGGTTGTTCAACACAATATCGTCTAAATCCATTGATACAGGCAACGAATATGTAGGTTAGGTTAAGTTAATATCATTATTGTTACAAGTGACCAATATTTTATAATGATAGTCAAAAAGACGTTTAGAAGTTGATGCATTAACTATATGAAAGCTTAATACTGATAGAATAAACTTGAACTTTTTTAATGAAAAAAAAAAAAAATTAGGAGTTAGGTATACGAATATTGAGAGGAAAGGATCAAGCTACATCAATAAAGAAATAGTTAAAATGTAGTCCAAAATCTATATTTACTTACAATAAGACCGAACAAATACACTGCATATAACGCAACACTCATATTGGATTTAATTGTAAAAGTTTAATTCCTTCACTTTAAATAATAAAATCGAATACTATTCTAATCCTATCGACCAGTATAAATTGACATTCAATTATTTTTAATTTACTAATTAAAAACGAAAAATATTGGTATACGATACAAAATGTCTAAGAGTTAATAGTGCTTTAGAAACTACAAAAAAAAGTTAAAAATTTGGATACTTTGTAAAAAGTTAAATATGGTAAAATTTGAACGTTAAAATGTAAACGTTACCAAATTTTAACTATTTTTCGAGGGAAAAATAATATAAATATGTGTCAGTTGTAGTAGTTTTATGTCGACAATAAGAAAAACATATTTTTAATATCTAAAGAAATACATAATACCGTTTTCTTACTAAAATAATTTCAAATTCACTCCACTAGCATTATTATTTTAGATATCACAAAAGAGTTCGATCATATGCAATTGTTCAACACAATATCATCTAAATCCATTGATAAAGGCAACGAATATATAGGTTAGGTTAAGTTAATATCATTATTGGTACTAGGGGCCAATACTATATGATAGTAGTCAAACATTCTTTTAAGAGCTATCCACACGTCATGACGTATTAACTAAATGCAAACTTAAAAAATAATTAATTTTAGTTTTTTTATACATATTATATTATATTTTAGTAATTAAAAAATTATTTAATCCACACTTATAAGTTTTAACTTTAATAAAATATTAATAAGTATTGATATTTGTTTTTTTTTTTCATTCGAGTGAAGATAGGTCAAAGAAAATTATTTTTTTTTAATTTAAATCGCGCTTATTGAGATTATACAATCAGTAACAAATGTTTTACAGTATGTATTTTGAAAACATAAATTTACTATAAAATATGTACATGATTAGCATGAGGAGAAATCCTCACAATAGGGGTACTACATAGAATATGTACTAATATGTAATAAAAAAACGTAACAAAACATTGTGAGTTTTTTAGTATTGCGATTAAAAATATAATAACACACCTAAGTAGGTATTTACTTACAATAACACCGAACAAAAACACTGCAAACAGCGCAACACTCATACTGGATTTCATTTTAAATACCTAAAACAATATAAAAATCAACATTTTTTATAAATAATAATATTGAAACAAAAAAAAAATACGAAAACAGCAGTTACAATTTAAAACATCATTGTCTAAATAAAAAAAAAATATCATTTTTTTTTATTTATAATAACCCTGGTACAAAATTTTCAGAAGTTGTTAGCGCTCTAAAAAATACCAAACAAAATTTTAAAATTTGTATACTTTATAAAAAGTTAAATATGGTAAAATTTGAACGTTAAAATGTAAACGTTACCGAAAATTTAATTATTTTTCGATAAAAAAAATACATATATTTTAGTTGTAATGATTTTTTGATGGAAATAAGTCAACATTTTTAAATTTTTAAGAAAAACATTGTCCTACGAAAAATAATTTCAAATATCGCTTACTTTTATGCAAGATAAACTTATCTCAAAGAAACTCACAAACACACTAAGACTGTTCCACTAACTATTTGGAATTGCGGCTCTTCGCATACGTAATACTTTTGTGTTTACTTAAGAAATATATGCTTTATTCAAGATGTTATTATGATGATAACAAACTTCTAAGCCAATCGGACTCAAATGTTCACGCCCTACTATCCGCCACCTTGGGAAAAAAATAATTTGTTTTCGATAAACAACAAACCATAACATTTTTGCGTGATAAAATACAATAATAAAGTTATACAAAAACTGTAGAAAACAACTTTATAAAATGTAAAAAAAAATGTATCCATGGCTTATGTGTAAGCAATAGATTTAACCACTGATTATAAATAGTATTTACAATCAATGATTCAATTAACTACAATTGTAATGCAATTTAAAAAAATAAAATATTAATGATTAGACATTGAAGGGTCTTGCATGTATATGCTTATGAATTAGAATAATTATTTTAAATTAAACTTCCCAAAATAGCGATAAAATTATATTTAATAATTGTATTGTTGCAACTTGTAGTATTTAAGAAGATTGTAGTAATAAATAAAAACACATAAAATTACTAGCTTTAAATAACTAATGACTGTATCTAATTATAACTTTAAAGTGTTTTGTTAAGTACTCATTTCAATTTATATTTCTTTAAAAATGCGTTATTACTATTAGATCCCACCAAGAGCATAATTTGCATAACTTTGATTTTATATGAATATTTACCCCCATCCCTCCTTTTTCATTATTTATATTTCTAGTGATGCCTAAAAAAAAAAATTATTAATATTAATTTTATAAAACCATATTTAAGATTTAGATTATAAGTCTGACATCATAATACATTAGATGGAGCTTCAGCTTTTACTTTTAAATTTAATAAGTGAACTTGCAAACAGTTTTATGATAAATATCAGACAGGCACTTGAAAAAAAAAGCAATTATTGGTTAATCAATTTTATAATACTAAAAGCTTACACAAGTCTATACAAAAACAAATGATTGGTTTGTGATAATGGAAAATTAAACGACCTAGAACCAATATCTTTACCATACATTCAGTCTGTACCAAATATATTACTATTGTCAAAACTCGAAACCCCCACCAAAAAAGTATTGAACATTGGCAATAGATTCTATTTATTTTATTTATTTCTGCATTTAAAGACTATTTGAACAATGCAACTTATTGCATTTTAACCGTAATGCATGCATTCAAATTGCTGCTTAAAAACTATACAGAAACTTATGTATATAGAGATGGGAATTTCGAATTACAGATACACAAAAAATATCGGTTGATGCTAATATTCTGAAATCTTAAGATTTAATTTCTAAAAAAACAGCCTCTCGCACTTTAGTACATCTTTGGCAAACATTTTTTTTGAAAAATCATTTTTATTTTCGCATAATACTATCATGCAAATATAAAGATTTTTTTTTTTTTTTTACAAAATTTTCTATAATACACAGGTTTTTCTGTTCGAATAAAGATCACAGCGATGACGTATCCTACATTTTTATTTATCATTGTATATTTTCCACAACATGTTTGTGCTTTTGTAATGGCGTTAACACGTGTGGACATTCAAAATCGTTTTTGGTTAAACAACAACAATTCGCTTAAGCAACACCGCCATAACCTAAATTCTTATTTTTTTGGCTATCAAAATGAACTTGCGACCGCATATTTGTTGTGCTTAAATACACATTTGGAAACATAAATATGTTTTCAACGAGCATTTTTTTTGTTGAAAAAACACATTTTTCGCAATGTTACAAATTAAAGATACACTATTTAATTTATACTAGGGGTTAATCTAACAAATTCTAGGTAAGTGTTTTTTATTTTCCTTGTCTGTAATTATGACTTGTATTAAACAAAGGTCTAAAAAGAAACATACTACAATTCAGATTTGTTGATATAAAGATAAAAGACTCAAATTTAGTTTTAATTACAACAAATTGATGGATAGTTTACAAGTACATGAAACCTATTCATAAAAAACAAATAAATAAAAAATCGTCAGACATTATACATTTGTATTTTTTTTTACAAATTTTTGCATTCCATCACTCAAACACGTTGTATATATTTTTTACGTTGTATATATATGTCATCATCTAGCAATAAGAGCATAATATATAAAATTAACAAAAACTACGTGTGTCAAGACAGTAATCTAAGCGCTATTTATTAAGGAGGCAAGGATAGACAATATTTCACACATAACTATCTAGTAACCATTTTAAGTACGCCGACTAATTTTAGTATGTAAGAAGATATAATTAATTTTTTCTAGCTATACAACTCTCAAAGTTATTTATCTCCGAGTTATGGCGAAAATTTGATAAAAAATTAATTTTTCAAAAGTCTTTTCCGGCGTATCTATTGGGCGGATTTAAATACATATTTTTTGTAATGTGAAGCTTAATGTTTATTTATTGTCTAGACGATATCTGATTTTTCAGATACTAAGTAAGTTATTAAGCGCAATATATCTATACAAATATGATTTATTTTGGATTTAAATTATAATAATTATACTTTTTGAAAATTTTTATCAATGTAGACAAATAAAGTAAATGCAACTGGCGGGACATATGCAGTGTGTATTGTTTAACTTAACGTGAAAAATTAAAATATTATAACTATACGCCAACGACCCTTCAGTCAAGCCTTTTGAATAATAAAAAAAAATATATAAAAATATTAACAACGATTTTTAATATATAGTTTATTGTGTAAAAATAAACAATAAAACGTCAATCACACAAAACAAATGAATTACAGTTTACAGAAATCATCGATACTGTTCACGTCGCCTATGAAATAATTGATGACTTCATTTAGTTCATAGTCGGTAGCTGCATAGAATTTTAAAGTTTAGATTAAGATTTAGATTATTATGTATACAGGGTGATCCAACTAACATAAGACACTCATTTTCTCTGAAAGTATGAATATTTTGCAAATTTTTTTTTTCCTAAAATTTTAGGTACATATTTAGCTACATTTTTCAATATTTAGAAAAATTTTATCTTCAACCCTTATACGTTAAATAAGTACGAACCTCGTTTTTTCAAATGGGAACATATGTTTTAAATTCCATAAATATAAAGACAAAAAATCTAAAAAAATGTTAGCGTTTGAATTTTTAATTTTCATCCATTTGTTCGCTGTTTATGACTTTGTAAAGATTTGAATTTTTGTCTATATTTCTTAATAATTTCATTCGATTCGACAAAGACAAGTAGTTTTATTACGACGGTCATCACATCAAATATAATAATAATTTGATGTTAACGCATTCCGTATCATAATCAGATATAATAAATAACCATACATTATTAGACGAAAGGTAGACTGTTACGGATAACGGACTTTACACTTTAACCTAATCTAGCTGGAGCTAGTCATTAGCTGGTTATCTCGGATAACAATCTAGTATCTAAACTATGTATCAGTTACCACGGAATAATCGAGTGACCAGTACCCATAATATATTTTATTATTTGTACAAAATCGCATTATATTTATTATTTGTACATAACCTCATCGCTAACAAATTTCGACTTCGAAGTTCACACGTTTACATTAGTGAAATGAGAAATTGCAAACTTAATTAAAAAATGTTAGTAAATTTACATTTTACTTTATAGTAAATATGATAGCATGCTTATTGTAGTTATGTCATAACTCGTTATTTTATAATTTTTTAAATATATTAATTGATAATATTTGCTCTCGACTTTATTTTGACGTTACATTCTTGGACACACCATTAATTTAATAGGTAAGTGTATTAAAGTTTAATAGATAATTTAATACAATACGAATTCAATTAGCTTTTTTATTTTAGGTTGAATGCTTTTTTCCGAAAATCTTTTATCATTTAAAAATCAATGTTATCATGTCAGAAATATCTATGGCGTTGAGAATAGGCTATACCAATTACTATGGAAATGTCTTTTCAATTGGACCCAAGACTGAAGACCTTACAATTTTATATTAAGGTGTAAATTATAAATATAAAGCATTAATTTAATAGGTAAGTTTATTAGAGTTTAATGGGTAATTTAATACAATACGATTTCAATTAGCTTTTTTAATTTAGGTTGAATGCTTTTTTACTGAAAATATTTCATCTTTTAAAAACCAATGTTATCATGTAAAATTGGATTTGAGTATGACATATCAATTGCTATGGAAATGTCTTTCCAATCGGACCCAAGACCTTACATTTATATATCAAGGTGTAAATTATAAGTATAAAACATTTATTTCTAATGTGACATTTTTTCATGTGAATGTATAATATCAACACTAAGCAATTTGAATGAAAAGTGTGTTGTGTTAACTTAAAATAATTATTAATGCATGTATTTGTGTATGTGGGTTGATAATACTCATATACCTGTTTCATTTATTTTTAAAAATATCAGTAATTAATGTATGAATTTCATACTACTACATACAAGGAATCACTTCTTGATTATACCATTATTTATAATAATATGTAAGTATATTATTTTTATTTGATTAAACTTATCTAAGGTAGTTCAAATGTCTGCTTTCAGTTTAGTTATTTCTTACAATGATATAACCCATATATTGTGTGTCTGACATACATTACGGATATTTTATCATAAAGTTTTAGCTATAACTGACACAGGTATTTGGCTATCAAAGTTAAATTTTATATCAAATTAATTAATATACAATAATTCTCTCTTTAAAAAAGTAGTAATTCTATTAATTTGTATTTAATGAATTCAGTAAATCAAGTAAATTATTTTTTTGAACTTGCCTAAGATAATTCTTATAGTTAATTTTATTTATTGAATTTTGATTTTGTTAGATTTGTTTAATTACCAACGATTGTTAAAAGAAAAAAATTTAAATCAGTATTATAGAAGTTGAACAATTTCAAATGTATAGATATTGTTTTTGTTTAATATTTTTGATTGAATATTTTCAAAATAGTAACATTTGTAATTTTTAAATTTATTGTTGTATTAATAAATAGTTTATGAATATTTTATTAGTTAAATACTTATATTATCAGACAAAAGATTATTATTGTTCTTTAAATGTTATACTATACTATATGTTTGTCGTTGAAATTTATCAACACAATTGTTTGACTATGTGTTATCAATGTTCAAATTTTGTAAAGTACACAGTAAAAATTAATAAAAATTGTTTTTTAACTCTTTAAAGTAGGAAAATTGTCGCATACGCATTACAGCAAATATTCTTTTAACCATTATTTGCATCATTAAAGGTAAACAAATTTTATTTTTAACAACTATGCATTATAAGTTAGTATAATTGATTTTATAATTATTTGTATTTATACATAAATATAGTATACATGTATGTATGTGTATAAAATCAGACAAACTTGTCGCGTACAAATTCCATAAAATTGAAATCCTTAAAAATGTGTTTTATTACAGAATAATTGTTAAATTTAGATACTACAATTTAGCTAAGGCTATTTTTGATTTAATATTGCCACTTTTACATAATCTTAGTAAAACGTACCCGTTATAATAGTTTAATAATGTCAATACTTTAATTTGTATAGTAAACAAGGAAATATCAGATAATGGTTTTCTTTTTAAACAACTAAAATCTATTAAGCTTTTAATTTTCTAGATATTAAATAGTGAAGAAAATAATAAAAATAAGAAAATACTGATTATACATAAAATCAAAATAAGCAGATTCAACTGTAAAAGAATTAACTTTTCAATTTGAAATTTTTGAAACAGACATATTTTATTATAAAGGCTTTAGAATCACTATTATTATAACATTGTACACCTTATAAGTTATAATAATAATTAGTAAGTACTAATAAAAAGATTAGAAACATATAAACTATTTAATTTAATAGTTATTAATAAAATAAAAAAGACAAGTTCTGATAATTTAATGTTTGCGTGACACAAACCCTAACTTTATTTCTGAAGTTTGAGTATCACTGTGTGATTTTGTGTAATTGAGTCACAAACTATTGATCCATATTTTTATTAACAGGATCTTAATAAGAAATAACTTGACTTAAAAAAAAATGAAATATCAATGATGTTGAAAAATTTACCGTTACAGAAAAATCAAATCTTTTTTGCCAACAGGATGGGGAAAACAGAAAAAAAAGTATAAGTACTTTGAATCATAGTTTGGAACTACCGGCTTAAATTAAGTCGATAATTAATACAATTTCAAACTTAACTGTGATTTTGTTGTAGGTTCCTAAAACACTGTTTACAAACATCTAGTCTTTAGACAACTTAATCATTTAAACACAGTCCACTTTATTGCATTATTTTTTATTAATAAAGTTGTTTATATAATAAAAAAAAGTTAGTTATAAATGTAAAATAAGCAACATTTTAAATATTTACTGTAGAATTAAAATAGTAAGCAAATTAAATCCAAAATTCCTTATTTAGTGTAAATTGTTTAAAACAATTATTTGAGCACAGAACATATTTTGAATAAATTGAACATAACTAAACAAATAATAGTAACGCTTCGCGACGCTTGTCCATTCAATGTATGCACTTATGAGATTGTAAGCCAAATTTTAAAGCTATTGTTTACTACCTATAAAAACTAAAAATTATAATTTTCAAATAGCATAATAATGATCTGTTGTACTGTGCTGTTACTTGTTGAATGTAGAACATAGATAGTAGAAAAATATGATAACTAATGATAATAATATTTTGTATTATCATCATAGCAGCAGTTATCAACCTACTTGTACCACGGTTTTTGATTGTTGTGGTTAAATAGCCATTCGTTAGCTGCTGTCAATATAGGTCTGTCAACCTACCTGTCATGACGGTGTGTTAGAAAAGTCGGTAATCTATAAATATGAAACGCTGGTCAAACAAAATATCACAAAACATTTTATTGTGTTTGGTTATCTGTGTACTCATCTATCGGACAATGCGATCATAAATAAGTATTTTATTGGCTCCCGGTCTTTGGAAAACCAAAGAAATATAACAATATTTAAGAGAAAATGTAATATCTTTACAAAGTCATAGCTAACGACTAGATGGATAAAAATTAATAATTCAAACGATAACATATTTTAAAATTTTTTGCCTACAAATTTATGGAATTAAAAACATATGTTGCCATTTGAAAACGTGAACTTAGACCCTTTTTATCGTATAAGGGATGAAAATAAAAATTTTCGAAGCATTGAAAAATGTAGTAAAACTTATACCTAAAAGAATAGGAAAAAATGTTTTTTCAAAATATTCATATTTTCCGAGAAAATGAGTGTCTTACGTTAGTTGGATCACCCTGTATAGAGATGGGAATTTCGAATTGCAGATCTACAAAAAAAATCGGTTGATGCTACTTTTTTTAAATCTTAAGATTTAAAGTTTTTAATTTATTATTGCCCTTCTTCTTATTTATTTTTTTTTTTGTTATATCGAGTAAAGCATCACGTGCTTCTTTTTCTCGATCTTCTGAATTTCCATTTTCTAATCCAAGAAAAATTTGGTTCCTGGCTTCTGTAACCCGTGCAATAAACTCAGAGTCTAATTGAAATTTCAAATCTGTATACAAATAACAATTCAGGTTTGGTCTGATCATCGTAATAAACTAATAAATATTAGTTAGACAAAATATTGTAATATATGTTGGCGTAAATCGGAAAACCACCATTGGTGAAAAACGGGATAGATGATAATATTCAAATACGAAATTTTCTTTTTTAATGTTTGCCAAATTGATTGTGTGCGGTCTGTTTTTAAGGAATTTTGTACAGGCAATATTAATGAAAAAGAAGAGGTTTTAATTAAATTCTACCATGTCATTTAGTTGTTAGGATAATTGTAAAAGCAACTTTGGTTTATTCTAGTCCAAAATGTAGACTACATAGGATAGTCCAATTTGAATTCTTGTGCAGAGATTTGAGTTTTTCGGCTATTTTATTAGGTATGTTATGTAGAAAGCTAAATCTCATTCATAAATGCCGGTTTCTTGTAATTAAATAAATAAAATTTTATAAAAAATCAAAAATCTCTTTCCCACATAACCTTGTTAAGTTGCAGTGAACTCTATATTTTCTGTATATCTTTACAGAATTCAAATCGGACCACTATAGGTTTGTTACGTTCATTTCCACAAAGTTTAAAAGTTTAAAAAGACATATATCAGTTTAGGTTTGGGAAATTGATAAAACAGACAAACGTTTAACTACAAATGTGTTTTTCAATAAGTGCATTATTTTTAATTTAAATTTCTATCGTTTTAATACCCTCATTTTTCCTTTGCGCATAATTGAAAAATAATTATTTAAATACTCACAGTCTGATATAAAACTATTATCTTTTAGACTATCTAAATTTTTCAAAAAATCAGGATCTGTTATGATTTTATATTCATTTCCGGGTATTCCTCCTGGTCTATTTGGAGTCAAAATCTGAAAGACCCACATATTAGTATTAGTATTATTACTAGTATAACATACAGCTATTGTCGACTGTCGTCAAATACTTAATGTATTAAAGTACACTTGGCTTGCAATTTTACTTAAGATAGGTCAAAGAAAATGTATTATGAAATTAAAGAGACCCTGGAAATCATTAGTGCTTGATCTAAATAAGTACAAACTAGTTTTTTTGTATTTACATTCAATATGTAGTTGCATATAGAGACGGGTAAGGTCTCTGATGTCTCTGATGTCCCTGATGTCTCGCCACCGCTTGGTACCATCGGCGAACTATTCAAAGACACCTGAAAGTCATACACTAATATTAGTAGTATGGTACGCTTCACAAGCAGGAGTATTATAGAGGGCGATCCTATGCGGTTGTTCAACACAATATCGTCTAAATCCATTGATACAGGCAACGAATATGTAGGTTAGGTTAAGTTAATATCATTATTGTTATAAGTGGCCAATATTTTATAATGATAGTTAAAAAGTCTTTTAGAAGTTGACGCATTATCTAAATGAAAACTAAATACTGATTGAATAAACTTGAACTTTTTTAATGAAAAAAAAAAATACTTAGGAATTAGGTATAAGAATTTTGAGAGAAAAGGATTAAACTACATTAATAATAAAATAGTTAAAAATTAGTCCAAAATCTATATTTACTTACAATAAGACCGAACAAATACACTGCATATAGCGCAACACTCATGTTGGATTTAATTGTAAAAGTTTAATTTCATCGCTTTAAATGATAAAATCGAATACTAGTCTAATTCTATCGACCGGTAAAAATTCACATTCAATTATTTTTAATTTACTAATTAAAAACAATAAATATAGTCATACGATACAATATGTCCAAAAGTTGTTAGTGCTTTAGAAACTACCAAAAAAAAATTGGATCATATTATATACAAAAAGTAAAATCCTATTAATCTTCCTAACACTCTTTAAACATTGTAAATTTTTTATTGTTGCGATTAAAAAAATAATAACACACCTAGTAGTTGTATACATTTGCACAATATTATGAAATTAATATGGAAATTAAACTTTTGAGGTTATTACTAAAAAGAAAATATAAGCCTTACATTTTTCTACTCCAAAAATGTACGAAAAATATAATACATAGCGGTAGGTACTAGGTATAATAGTATATTAAGAGGAAATCAAACAAAAACATTAATAATGAAATAGCTAATATTTAGCTTAAAATATATATTACTTACAATTACACCGAACAAATACACTGCAAACAGCGCAACACTCGCGTTGGATTTCATTTTAAATACCTAAAACAATCGTCATTTTTTATAAATAATAATATTGAAACAAAAAAAATATGAAAACAGCATTTGCAATTTAAAACATTATTGCCTAAATAAAAAGAAAAATACCATATTTTTATTTATAATTCCCCTGGTAACCGATACAAAATTTTCAAAAGTTGTTAGCACTCTAATAAATACCAAAACAAATTTTAAAATTTGGGTACTTTATAAAAAGTGAAATATGGTATAATTTGAACGTTAAAATGTAAACGTTTCCAAAAATTTAAGTATTTTTCGATAAAAAAAATACATATGTTTTAGTTGTAATGTTTTTATGATGGCAATAAGTCAACATTTTTAAATTTTTAAGAAAAACATTGTCCTACGATACCATTTGCTTACGAAAAATAATTTCAAATATCGCTTACTTTTATGCAAGATAAACTTATCTCAAAGAAACTCACAAACACACTAAGACTGTTCCACTAACTATTTTGAGTGCCTTTTGTTGGTTAGAATTGCGGTTCTTCGCATACGTCATACTTTTGTGTTTACTTAAGAAAAATATGCTTTATTCAAGATGTTATTATGATGATAACAAACTTCTAAGCCAATCGGACTCAAATGATCACGCCCTACTATCCGCCACCTTATCCGGTTGGTGTACTGCGGTACTTACAAGGATGTGACCTAACCTAAAATTATATAGAAAAACATAAGCCGGTCTGCATTAAAAAATAACGGCATTTTTTAAATATGCTTTTCTTAGATATAATCTAAGTTGAAATCCTTGAGAGAATTGTTATACTTTACGGATACATTTTTTTTATAGAAATCAAGTTGTGTTTTTGGACATAATATCACTATACATGTTCTTTACATTAAAATCAAATTTAATAATTATAAATGTTTACATTGGGAAAATTTATTACAATAATTATGTATCTTAACGTACAAAATAGTTATTCGCCATAGTTATTGTAACATAGTTCAAACTAGTGATGGGAAATATTCGAATATTCGACTAGTTTGGATTCGAATATTTGGGATTCTAATCCTTCGAATATTCAAATAATAATAATAATACTTAATTTACAAATAGTTTTTTTTCCAACTATTCGAATATTTAAAAATTAGGTATTCGAATCCAAATTACAACACTAGTTCAAACATTTGAATAAACAAACGACAAAACAAAATAAGGTTAAAACAAATATTTTGTATTCGATGAACAACAAGCCATAACATAATATCGTATAATAGCTATACAAAAACTGTGGAAAACCACTTTATAAAATGTAAAAAAAAAATGTATCGATGGAACTTTTATACTTTATAAATACAGTTTTTATAGAAATCATTGGTTTTTTTGGACATATTTTTTTATACCAAATTTGATGGTATGGTAGTACCATATTGTAGTAAATAATAATTTTGTATTCACACCAATAACAATACTTAAAAACATCATATCGTATGGTATACATGTTCTTTACATTCAAATCAAATTTAACAATGTACAAAATTGTTGTTTGCCATAGTTATTGTAACATAGTTCAAAAATTTGAATAAACAAAATAAGGTTAAGAAAAATAACTTGTTTTCGATAAACAACAAACCATAACATTTTTGCGTGATAAAATAAAATAATAAAGCTATACAAAAATTGTAGAAAACAACTTTATAAAATGTAAAAAAAAATGTATCGATGGAACTTGAAAAAAAAAGCTATTACTGATTAATTAATTTTATAAATCTCTAATGCTATAATGCCGTTAATGTGTCATAAACTAAAAATATTTTAACGACCAACAATTTTAACTGTAGGTAAAAAAAAAATGTCTTATAAATTATAAAAACAATTTAGGTATATTTTACATTTCCGCTTATTTTTATAAATATATAAAAGACATTTTTTTGGAAATGATTATCAGTCAATCAATTATTTATCATATTAATTTAGCGATGCTAACATTAGAGACAGTGTTTTAAATAAGTATACCTAGGTATAAAACGTGAAAACATGAGTCTTAGCTAATGTACACAAAATGTGTATTTTTTGTATATCGTCTCAGAGAGGATAAGTAATTTTATTACATTTGTGTAAAATTATTTTATTTTCGTGCGTAACGTTTTATAAAACGTATTCTTATATGGTAGATATAGTTGATATTTAGCTTACACAAGTGTACTTGAAAACACAATTGGTTAGTTTGTGATAATGTAAAATCAGACGACCTTGAACCAACATCTTTTCATACATACAGTCTGTGGCCAAGTTATTACTATTGTCAAAACTCCAAACCTCTCAAAAAAAGTATTCATCATTGACCATAGATTTTATTGGTATACCTAACTGAAGCCTAGACGTGACACAAGGGTTTATTTCACCTATAATTAAAACAATTGTTGTGGTCAGGATTTAGTTTAAGGGGAGTATCATAACAACATGCATTTAAAGACTATTTGAACAATGCAACTTAATCTTTTTTAACTGTACTGCATACATTATATTTGCTACTTCAAAACTATACAGAAACTTATGCAAATAGAGATAGGAATTTCAAAGTACAGATGTATAAAAAGTATCGGTTGATGCTACTTTTATTAAATCTTAAGATATAAAATAGTGAAACGAATGTGTAAAAAGAAATATACTATAAAATATATACATTAAACTATGCGATATCATATATTCGACCAGACGGTAATTTTTAATCACACATAATGAACATAACCCAATAGCCAGATAATCTATGGTATTGCATTTGAATAGAATGCAAAAATAAGAAATAGAGAAGGATAGTATTAAGGATATTTTATTAGTAGTTCATTTTTTTATCAGCCTCTCGCACTAAAGTACATTTCCGGCGAACATTTTTTTTTGATAATATATTTTATATTCGCATAATATTAACATTTAATAATATCATGCGAATATAAAGATTTTTTTTTGACAAATTTACTATAATACACAGGTTTTTCTGTTTGCATAAAGATCTCAGCGATAACGTATCCTACATTTTTGTTTATCATAGTAGATTTTCCACAACATGTTTGTGCCTTTGTAATGGCGTTAACACATATGGACATTCAAAATCGTTTTTTTTTGGTAAAACAACAACAATTCGCATAAACAGCAATCAACATGACCTAAATACATATTTTTTGGCTATAAAAATGAACTTGTGACCGCATGTTTTTGTGCCAAAATACACATTTGGAAACATAAATATGTTTTTAACGAGCTTTTTATTTTGTTGAAGAAACACATTTTTTGTAATGTTACAAATTAATAATTAAACAATTTTTTTTTTTAAAAATACAACCTTTCAGTTATAATCTTTAATTTAAATTCGACTTCAATCTAACAAAATCTAGGCACAGTGTATTTTTGTTTTCTGGGTCCTATATTTCTTTATCTGCAGTTATGACTTGTTTAAGGTCGATAAAGGAACATAATATTGTATTTGTGACCAGATATGTTGTGTATTTCAAATGTTTTAGTAGTAATTATATTTTAGTAATTATATTTTGCAAATAAATAAAAATTTGTGTGACATTATTTTTGTTAACGGCGGGACGACATTAAAAATTGGCCTTAAATCTTCAATAGGTGATAAAACGTGTTTATTTTGACCAAATAAAGTAAATCCAATTGGCGGGAAATACAAATAAAAATAAAAACAAGGGATTTTTCATATACAGTTTATTATGTAAAAATAAACAATAAAACTTCAATCAAACAAAACAAATGTATTACAATTTACACATCATCAACACTTTTGTTTTATAAATATTGTTTCACGTGCTTTATGAACGTATCGATGACCTCGTTTATTTCTACGTCGGCATTTGGATATTCAGTATTAAATAACTCCTCCTTGCTCTCATTCTCCAGCTTCTCAAATAATTTGGTTTTTATTGTAAAGAATAAAGCAGCACGTGCATTTTTTTCTTCTTCTTTTAAGTTTCCTACTTTTAATCCCCGAAGAATGTCGTTCCTGGCATCGATAAGCCGAGTCATAAACACTGGGTCTAGTTTTGCTTTCGAATCTGTATACAAAAAAATATTTCAAGTTTGATCTCTCGTCATTGTATTAAACTAATAATATATGTTGGCGTAAATACGAAAACAACCATTGGCGGAAACGGACTTGATGATAACGTTCGAATATGAATAATGATTTTAAAAAATTGCTTGCCAAATATACCTAAGGGGATCTGGTATGCGATCTGTTTTTAAGGATTTTTGTATAAGCAATATTTACAAATAAAAAAAAAACCAGTACAGTGGGGTCGTTGCATAGTTGGGTTGGGGCATAGTGGGGACGGGGAGGTCACAGGTTTACAGGAATTTTTAAATCTGAAAGTGATAAAATCACTTTTGAAAAAGCGCTTCGGTGCAAATCGGTAGTTAGTATTTTCGAGCCAGTACGGTCCAAACCAAGCACAGTATAAACCAGCAAAGTTAGAAAGTTTTAAATTAAGGTTCTGTATTTTCAAATGAGCATCAAAGCGTTAATTTGAAAGTGATTTTATCCGAGAGGACTAGTACAGTAGAGTATAGGCATAATGTAATCAAAGCAATGAGGAAGCGGAGAGGTCACAGGTCTACAAGAATTATTTTAAAAAAAGTGATAATTGATGAAATTGGATTGAAATTGGATCATTTTAATACCCTTATTTTCCCTTTGCTTATTAGAGAAAAATAATTTTTTTAATACTCACAGCAATTTTTGATGCTCTTATATTTTACACCCTCTAGTACTTTCACAACGTCAGCAAGTACCATAACATTTAATATAGCTATGGGCAATTCATTTGAATTTCTTCTACTAAAATGCTGAAAGATCCACATATAAGTATTAGTATTATTACTAGCATCATATAGTTCATGTCGACTGTTGTCAAATACCTAATGTATTAGTGTACATTAGTCTTGCAGTATCAGTGTAGATAGGTCTAAGAAAATGTATTATGAAAATAAAGAGACCCTGGAAATCATTAGTGCCTGGCTTGTATAAGTACAAAGTAGTTTTTATGTATTTACATTTCTTATACGGTTTTTCTTAGCGACTTTGGGCAAGGAGTTTGATGTCTTTGATGTTTCTAATTTCTCGCCACCGCCTGGTCCCAAGGGCGAACTATTCAATGAAACCTGAAAGACATACACTAATATTAATAGGATCATACTCTTCACCAGCATTGTTATTATAGAGCGCGAGCATAATATGCGGTTGTTCAACACAATATCATCTAAATGTATTGATACAGGCAACGAATATGTATATTAAGTTAAGTTAATATTAATATTGGTACAGGGGCCAATACTACATGATGGAAGTCAACATTTTTTTAAAATTGTCTTATCCACACTTAACTATTAACAAGTATTGATTTTATTATTTTTATTTGGAAAAAACCGAATGTTCAAAAAAATCCTGATTTTCGAGTGAAGTTAGATCAATGAAAATTTGTTTTTTTTTTTTGGAAATTTAAGCCACTTTTATTGAGAACATACAGCCTGTTACAAAGGTTTTATTAAAAAAAAATAATAATTACTACTAATTATATACATGTTTGGCATGAGGAAGAATCCCCATAAAAAATGGCACCGCATAGACAATTTGTAATAGAGGCTCTGGGAATTAGTGGTTGTCCAATATTATAGGAAACTAAATAGGCAGTAGCTTGTGTCATATCAAGATTAATATCATACATTTATAATTGATGATTAATTCACTGCAGTTATTTTCAATCATATTATAATAATATACTGCATACAAAAAGTGAAATACTATTAATATTCTTATAACATTTTGAAATGACGGTTATTTCTTTAAAAAAAATATGAACATAAGTAGTTGTATACAATTGAGCAATACAGTAAAAATAATATAGAGATTAAATTATTGAGGTTATAATTTAAAAAAAAAAAAAACTATACTTTTTTTCTATTCCAAAAATGTATGAAAAAAATAATACTAAGTTGTTAGGTATACGAATATTGAGAGGAAAGGATTAAACTACATTAATAATGAAACAGTTAAAATGTAGTCCAAATAAATTTATATTTACTTACAATTAGACCGAATAAACACACCGCAAATAGCGCATCAATCATACTAGATTTCATCATAAATACCTAAAAAAAAAAAAAAACAGTTAAGTACAATTAAAAACATCAACTTTTATATTATTTTATACTTTTCTTTATTTGATTTAAATGTAAAAGTTTAATTCCTTCGCTTTAAATTATATCGAAAACTATTCTAATCCTATCGACCAGTAAAAAATGACATTCTGTTATTTTTAATTTACTAATTAAAAACGAAAAATATAGGTATACGATACAAAATGTTCAAAAGTTGTTAGTGCTCTAGAAACTACCAAAAAAAAGTAAAAAATTTGGATACTTTGTAAAAAGTTAAAAACGGTAAAGTTTGAACGTTAAAATGTAAACGTTACCAAAGTTTAATTATTTTTCGAGGACAAAAAAATATAAATATGTTTCAGTTGTAATGGTTTTATGTCGGCAATAAGCAAAACATATGTTTAATATCTAAAAAAAAACATAATACCATTGTCTTAATAAAATAATTTAAAATATCGCTTACTTTTTTTATGTTTGACAAACTTAACGCAGAGAAACTCAAAAACACACTAATACTTTTATTGGTGCTTGGGTTGCCTTCTGTTAGATAGATTTGCGACTTTTCGCGTACGTCATATTTTTGTGTTTACTTAAGAAAAAGTATGCTTTATTCAAGATATTACGACAATAACAATCTTCTAGACCAATCGGATTCAATTGTTCAAGCCCTATTTTCCGCCACTTTGTCTGGTCGATTTACCTAATGCGGTACTTACAAGAATGTGACACACCTAAAGTTATATGAAGGGCACAGCGAAAAACAGACATGTCTTTTTGATTCAAATCAATAATAGAATATGTGTTTTAATCATTTTTTTTTTGCAATTTTTAAACCTGTTTTCCTTAAATTACAGCAAAAGGGACTTTTCTGTTTTTTTCCCTGTACCTTTCATGTACTCATATCAGGCCCGCCGTGGTGGGAAACACTCTGTAAAGAGTATAAACTGTAGTTTTTAAGTTATAACCTTGAGAGAACTGTTATACTTCACAAATACAATTTTTACAGAAATCAAGTTGTTTTTTGGCTATATATTGTTTTATTATTGGATTTCCACATTTTTCGTATTTTCTTGTTTGAACATTTGAATTTGATGGCATGATAGTAGGTGTACCATATTGTTACAGATATTATAGCAAATACAAATCTGTATAAACACCAACAACAATACTAATAAAAAAAGTTTACTATACCTACGCGTGTCTTATATTCTAGATAACACATTTTTTTATCATTGTGTTCAAATTTTTCGATCTCTGAAAATAATAATTTAACTCATCTTTATCTTGTAATTTGTTTTAATTAAGAAAATAGTACCAGTATACATATTCTTTACAATCAAATCGAATGTAATAATTATAAAAAATAGTTATTCGCCATAGTTATTGTACCATAGTTCAAATATTTGAATAAAAAACGACAAAACCAAATTAATTTAAGAAAAAACACTTGTTTTCGATAAACATCATGTTCATAGAATAATATTATATTTATTAAAAGATAATAATAAGAATTGAGACTAATCTTAATTCCTTTGTTGACGGCGGGATGACATTTAAAATTGACCTTAAATCTTCAATAGATAATAAATGTTTATTTTGGCCAAATAAAGTAAATCCAATTGGCGGGAAATATGCCGTGTGTATTGTTTAACTATACGTGACAAATTAAAATATTAACAACGTTTTTTAATATATAGTTTATTATGTAAAAATAAACAATAAAGCGTCAATCAAACAAAACCGAATGAATTATAATTTGCAAATTATCGATACTTTTGTTTTATAAATCCATGTTCACATCACTTATGAAATAATTGATGACTTTTATTAGTTCATTGTCGGTAATTGCATAATTTTCTAAAGTTTTTAATTCATTATTGTCCTTCATCTCATTTAATTTCTTTTTTGTTATATCGAGTAAAGCATCACGTGCTATCTTATTTTGGTTGACTGAATTTTCATTTAGATATCCAAGAATAATTTGGTCTTGGACCTCGGTAACCCGTGCAATAAACTCAGGGTCTAATTGAAATTTCAAATCTGTGTACAAATAACAATTCATGTTTGGTCTGGTCGTCGTAATCAACTAATAAATATTAGTTAGACAACATATTGTCGGAATTAATAATAATATTCGAATACAAATTTTTTTTTTTTAATGTTTGCCAAAGATGCACTTATTTATAAGATTGTATGCGGTCCGTTTTTAAGGAGTTTTGTACAGAAAATATTAACAAAAAAGAAGAGGTTTTAATTAATTTTGACCATGTCATTTAATTTATAGGATAATTGTCAAAGCAACTTTGGTTTATTTTATGCCAAAATAAAGACTACATAGAATGGTCCAATTTCAATCCTTGTGGAGAGATTTGAGTTCTTCGGCTACTTTATTATGTTATGTAGAAAGCTGAATTTCATTCATAAATGCTAGTTTCTTGTAATTAAATAAATACTATTTTATAAAAAAATCAAAAATCTCTTTCTTACATAACCTAGTTAATTTGCCAGTGAATTTTATGTGTTCTGTAGATATTTACAGAATTGAAATCTGACCACTCTAAGTTGTCGAAATTGTTGTCTGGCTTTTTGGTCTGAAACGTCTATTGTAAAAAAAACCCCGCTTTTCTTTAATCAACAAGTGTTTTAAATACCGGGTGGTTGTTTAAAGTCTATTACTAGATTACTCTTAAAATAATTGCGATTTTGTAGTTATACTTTTTGAACACGTGTTTGTTTATGCTTTATTACTGTATGCGATAATACCTATTTAAATGTATACCTTTTAAGTATTTTCTTGAGCTTTATTAGATTTCGAAACATAAATGATAACGTATACATATTCCTAACTTTTCAAACTAACTATAATTTGCTGAACATTTTCACTGTTCGATAACCAGTTTTAAATGAATAGTTTTAATATAATTAAAGTTTAAAATTTAGGAAGGGTGGAGAGTAGAGCTATTTTTATCTAAAATTTTTCAGTAAATTATTCCTAAATTTTAAAGCTAATAAGATATATACGTCATTAAGTTATATAAGTTAATAGAGCTAAAGCAAATACTAAAAAAGATAAAAATTTAATAATATAATGTCAGACAGTCAGATGTCAGTCAGAGAACTCTTTGTTATGTTAATTTCCACGAAGTTTAAAAGTTTAAAACAGAAATTTAAAAGCTTAGGTTTGGGAAATTGACAACATAGACAAACGTTTGACTATAAATGTGTTTTTCAATAAGTGCATTTTTCTAAACTTAAATTTCTATCGTCTTAATACCCTTATTTTTGCTTTTCGTATAAGAGAAAAATAATTATATAAATACTCACAGTCTGATATAAAACTATTATCTTTATAACTATCTATTTTTTTCAAAAAATCAGGATCTGTTACAATATGTAATATTTCACCATCGGAAAATCCTGGTGGACGACTCCTGTGAATCAAAATCTGAAAGATCCACATATTAGTATTATTACTAGTATAACATACGGTTCTTGTCGACTGTCGTCAAATACTCAATGTTTTAAAGTACACTGGGCTTGCAGTTTTACTTAAGATAGGTCAAAGAAAATAAAATATAAAATTATAGAGGCCATGCAAATCATTAGTGCTTGACCTAAATAAGTACAAACTAGTTTTTAAATATTTACATTTATTATGTAGTTTCTTATAGATGGTGGCAAGGTTTCGTCGTCGCCTGGTATAATGCAAGTCACAAGCTGAAAGACCCACATATTAGTATTAGTATTATTACTAGCATCATAGTGTTCTTATCGGCTGTCGTCAAATACCCAATGTATTAATGTACACTAGTCTTTAGTGAGATCAAACATAGGTCAAAGAAACTGTAATATAAAATTAGGGACGCTCCGGAAATCATAAGTGCTTCACCTAAATAAGTACAAACTAGTTTTTATGTGTTTACTTTTGTTATAAAGTTTCTTAAAGATACAAGACAAGTGTTTGATGTCTCTGATGTCCCCGATGTCTCGCCACCGTCTGGTACCATGGGCGAACTATACATTGAAACCTGAAAGGCAAACACTAATATCAGTAGTATCATACACTTCACTAGCAGTGGTATTTTGAAGCGCGATAGAGCGTGAGCCTATGCGGTTGTTCACCACAATTACATCTAAATCTATTGATACAGGCAACGAATATGTAGGTTAGGTTTGGTGAATACCAATATTGGTACAAGTGGCCAATATTATATAATGATATTTAAAAAGTCTTTTACAAGTTGACGCATTAACTAAAGGAAAACTTAATACTGATTTAATAAACTTGAACTTTTTTAATGAAAAAAATAATACTTAAGAGTTGGGTATAAGAATATTGAGAGGAAAGGTTTAAACTACATTAATAATGAAATAGTTGAAATTTAGTCCAAAATCTATATTTACTTACAATAACACCGAACAAATACACTGCAACAAGCGCAACACTCGCGTTGGATTTCATTTTAAATACCTAAAACAATAAAAAAACTCATTAAAGATTATTAATAATAACCTTGGTATACGATACAAAATTTTCAAAAGTTGTTAGCGCTCTAAAAAATACCAAAAAAAGTTTTAAAAATTTGGATACATTATAAAAAGTTATATATGGTAAAATTTGAACGTTAAAATGTAAACGTTACCGAATTGTAATTATTTTTCGTAAAAACGATTATTTTTTTTTTTAGTTGTAATGACTTTATGTTGCCATTAAGAAAAACAATTTTAAATTTTTTAAAAAAACATTGTCCTATGACACCATTGTTTTACGAAAAATAATTTCAAATATCGCTTACTTTTATGCTAACTTAACGCAAAGAAACTCAAAAACACACTAATACTGTTTTACTAACTGCTCGGTTAGCCATTTGTTGGTTAGATTTGCGGTTCTTCGCATACGTCATACTTTTGTGTTTACTTAAGAAATATATGCTTTATTCAAGATGTTATTATGATGATAACAAACTTCTAAGCCAATCGGACTCAATTGTTCCCGCCCTATTTTCCGCTACTTTGTCCGATGGGCGTAGTTGCGGTACTTACAAGAATGTGACACACCTAAGTTATATACAAAAACATAGGCCTGTCTGCATTAAAAAAAAAACGGCATTTTATAAATATGTTTTTCTTAGATATAATCTAAGTCGAAATCCTTAAAGTTTTAACCTTGAGAGAACTGTTATACTTTACAGATACAATTTTTATAGAAATCAAGTTGTTTTTTGGACATAATATCGCTATACGTGTTCTTTACATTTATATCAAATGTAATATTTATAAATGTTTACATTGTGACATTTTAATACAATAATTATGTATCTTAACGTACAAAATAGTTATTGTAACATAGTTCAAACATTTGAATAACCAAACGACAAAACAAAATTAGTTTAAAAAAAATAACTTCTTTTCGACGAACAACAAACCATAACATAATATCGTATGATAGCTATACAAAAACTGTGGAAAACAACTTTATAAAATGTAAAATAAAATGTATTGATGGAACTTGAAAAAAAAAACTATTCATGATAATTCAATTTTACAAATCTCTAATGCTATAATGCCTTTAATCGGTCATAAGCTAAAAATATTTTAACAACCAATATTTAATATTAACTGTAGGTAAAAGCAAATGTCTTATAAATTATAAAAATAATGTAAATTTTACATTTCCGCTTATTTTTATAAATATATAAAAGACATTTTTTTGGAAATAATTATCAGTCAATCAATTATTTATCATATTAATTTAGCAATGTTAACATTAGAGACAGTGTTTTAAAAAATTTTAAAAGTTTTAACCTTGAGAGGACTGTTATATTTACAATCAAATCAAATGTAATAATTATAAACGTTTACATTGGGACATTTTAATACAATAATTATGTATCTTAACGTACAAAATAGTTATTCGCCATAGTTATTGTAACATAGTTCAAACATTTGAATAACCAAATGACAAAACAAAGTTAGTTTAAGAAAAAACACTTGTTTTTGATAAACAACAAACTATAGCATGATAAAAACTGACAAAAACAGTATCGCCTAATAGAAAAACTATTGCTAAAATACGCTGTAATTAATATTGTTGTCGTATTTCTTGTATATTTTTTACTATCTTAATATTTATTTTATACTTTATTTTACTCTTAAAATGTGAATGCTTTATCAAATGAAAAATGGTAAAGTTTAAACATTTTAATTATTTTTCGAGGAAAAAATAATTATATAAATATGTTTCAGTTGTAATGGTTGTAATGTATATATATATATATATATATATATATATACCCCTGTCAAGCGTAGAGTATAAGGGTATAGGGTATAAGCTACAGTTGGAAAAAAACATATTTTTAAACAATTTATATTGCGGTACGTGATATAAAAATGAATCCCTATTATTTATTTTAAAAGTAACATTCTTATTATATGTTTTTTCACACCTTATGGCATAAAACTATATCGTATTTAATGACCGTTAATCAGTTTTCATGTATTCAACTAACATGTTTTATTCTAGTTAGAATCTATGTAATTAAAAAAAAAGCCAACGATACAGTCTGTATCTTCTAGACAAGAATCAAATGACTGTTAACAATGCAATTTTTAAGTTTTTACATCGAGAGAACCGTTTTACTTCACAAATACAATTTTTATAGAAATCAAGTTGTTTTTTCGACATATCTTGTTTTATTATTTGATTTCTACGTTTTTCCTATTTTCTCGTTTGAATATTTTATTTGAGTAAAATGATTATTATTCAAAATTGACGGCTTATTATAATTGTAGTAGAATTGCAGTAGGCACCCATTTTCTGTTTCAGACGAGGAGCTGTTTTTTTAGAAATGTTGTGTTATTAAATATTGTGTGATAGCCTGATAAGAATTCAACTACTAATAAAGTGTCCTCAATACTATGTACATCATATTTGTCTACAACAAAACCCTTAAAATCTAGTATATGTGAAAGCTTTTTAACTATTGACTTGACTGTTGGCACACAAATCATAATTGACCCAGAAAATTAAAAAATACAGTATCCTTGGTTTTGTTAGGTTAACCCCGAATCTAAATTAATGAGTGTCACTGAGGGGTTGTATCTTTTATACATTTTGATTTTTTTATAAATTTGTAACTTTGTGTTTTTCAAAAAAACCAAATGAGTTAATTTCATCATTATTTTAAATATCCAGTTGTGTTTATGGCACAAACATGCCATCATTATTTCATCGTGTTACATAGAAGAGTACTATATTAAATACAAGATGAAAAGAAGAATTGAGACTAATCTATTTCCTTTGTTGACGACCAGACGACATTTAGAATTGGCCTTAAATCTATAATAGATAATACATGTTTATTTTGGCCAAATAAAGTGAATCCAATTGGTGGGACTTATGCCGTGTGTATTGTTTAACTATACGTGACAAATTAAAATATTAACAACGATTTTTAATACATGTATAGTTTATTGTGTAAAAATAAACAATAAAACTCCAGTCAAACAAAACCAATGTATTATCATTTACAAATCATCAATACTTTTATTTTATTAATTATATCACTTTTCCTATGAACCGAAAAATGAACCCTTCTATTTCTTTGTCGATATTTTCATATTCTTTAGTGTTTAATTTCTCTTGGCCCAGTGTCTCCTTTAATTTTGATTTTATTACAAAGAATATAGAAAAAAATATATTTTTTTTTTGGTCCTCGTAATTTCCTTTTTCACAACCAAGAAGGATATTCCTGGCATCGATAAGCCGTGCAACAAACTCTGGGTCTAGTTGTATTTTCGAAACTGTATACAAATAATATATCAAGTTTGGTCTGGTCATTGTATTAAACTAATAAATATTAGTTAGGTATTATAATACACAATTATATATATATACGAGTACATATATATTGAAAATTTAACAAAATATAGGCATTTTTATTGGACTTTTTTAGCTAAAAAATATTCGTTTTGTTAGGATTTAAACTTAATACACCACTATTAAGTTTATTTACGCTTCGCTTATTAGTGAAAAATACTTTTTTTAAATACTCACAGCAACTTAAAATACTCTTATTTTTTACACCGGCTAGTGCTTTCTTGAAGTCATGTTCTGTTACAATTTGTAATTCAGCCTTGGATAATTGATTTACACTCTTGTGTTTTAAAATCTGAAAGACCCACATATTAGTATTAGTATTATTACTAGTATAACATAGAGTTCTTTTCGACTGTCGTCAAATACTCAATGTATTAAAGTACACTAGGCTTGCAGTTTTACTTAAGATAGGTCAAAGAAAATGCATTGTGAAATTAAAGAGGCCCTGGAAATCATTAGTGCTTGACCGAAATAAGTACAAACTAGTTTTTATATATTAACATTTATTATATAGTTTCTTATACGTACGGCCAAGATGTTTGATGTCTCTGATGTCCCTGATGGCTCGCCACCGCCTGGTACCATGGGCGAACAACTCATTGGTATCTGAAAGACATAATATATAGGTACAAACTAGTTTTTATATATTTACATTATTTATATAGTTTCTTATAGATACGGGCAAGGTGTTTGATGCCTCTGATGTCTCGCCACCGCCTGGTACCATGGGCGAACTATTCAATGGTATCTGAAAGACATATATACAAGTGCTAACTAGTTTTTATATATTTACATTTATCATATAACTATATATAGTTTCTTATAGCTACGAGCAAGGTGTCTGATGTCTCTGATTCCTTGCTACCGCATGTTCCCATGGGCGAACTATTCAATGAAACCTGAATAGCATACACTAATATTAGTAGTATCATACACTTCACAAGCAGTGGTATTATAGAGCGCGATAGAGCGCGAGCCTATGCGGTTGCTCAACACAATTACATCTAAATCTATTGGATACAGGCAACGAATATGTAGGTTAGGTTTGGTGAATACCAATATTGGTACAAGTGGCCAATATTATATAATGATATTTAAAAAGTCTTTTACAAGTTGACGCATTAACTAAAGAAAAACTTAATACTGATTTACTTAGGATTTAGGTGTAAGAATATTGAGAGGAAAGGATTAAACTACATTAATAATGAAATAGTTAAAATTTAGTCCAAAATCTATGTTTACTTACAATAAGACCGAACAAATACACTGCAACAAGCGCAACACTCGCGTTGGATTTCATCTTAAATACCTAAAAAAAAATTTAAAACAGTTAAGTACAATTAAAAACATCATCTTGTATATTATTATTATAATTTTATACTTTTCTTTATTTGATTTAATTGTAAAAGTTTAATTCCTTTGCTTAAAATTATAAAATCGAAAACTAATCTAATCCTATCGACCAGTAAAAATTGACATTCAATTATTTCTAATTTATTAGGTTAAAAATTTGGATACTTTGTAAGAAGTTAAAAATGGTAAAGTTTGAACGTTAAAATGTAAACGTTACCAAATTTTAATTATTTTTCGAGGAAAATTGTAATGGTGGTACAATTCAGTTGTAATGGTTTTATGTCGGCAATAAGAAAAAAATACTTTTAATATTTAAAGAAAAACATATTACCGTTGTCTTATTAAAATAATTTCAAATAACGCTTACTTTTATACTAGATAAACTTATCTCAATGAAACTCAAAAACACACTAATACTGTTATTGGTACTTGGGTTGCCTTCTGTTAGTTAGATTTGCGACTTTTCGGATCCGTAATACTTTTGTGTTTACTTAAGAAAAATATGCTTTATTCAAGATATTACGACGATAACAATCTTCTAGACCAATCGGATTCAATTGTTCAAGCCCTACTTTCCGCCACTTTGTCTGGTCGATTTACCTAATGCGGTACTTACA